TTTGGATACTGTCTTTCTACTCATGAACACAGAAACACTCCACATTCATGTCTTAAAGTTTTATTAAAAGGCACATATTTGGTCAGATTTGTACTAAGCACTTTAGAATTGTTTTTGCAACTATTTGGTGTCTTTTTAAAACTCTGTTTTCTAATTTTTTGTGACTGGTGTATATAGATACAATTCAGTTATACAGGGTGTCCCAAAAAATGAACACACATTTTAATCGCTGACAGCTCAATTTTGAAAATGAAATGCATTTTAATAAACACTGCCTTTATAATTATTTAAAGTGTGTGTATACATTTTTAGGGACACCCTATATATTGATCTTATATTTAGCCACCTAACAAAACTCTCCAATTATGTCTAATAATTTGATGGACTTTTTTGGGGGGCGGGGGTTCTATGTATATAATCACATCATCTGCAAATGATGACAGTTTTACTTCCTCCTTTCCAATAATAATAATACCTTATTTATCTCATCTTACTGCAATGGCTAACATTTCTAATACAATGTTGAATGAAGTGAGGATAGCGATCATCCTTGTCTCATTCCTGACTTTAAAGAGAATGCTTCTGATGTTTCCCCTTCAGGATGGTGTTTATTTCAGGGTTTGTGAAGATACCCTTCCCCAAGTACCCTTGGAAAAGTACCCTTCCACTTACAGATTGCTGAAAGTTCTCATTAATGGGTGTTTTTATTAAATGTTTCTTTGCTCCTTTGACCAACTGGTTTTTCACTTTTATTCTGTAAATGATGAGTAAGATTTATTAATTTTCTAATATACCATCTATGTCTTTCTCAGTTAAATGCCACTTGGTCAATATGTCACATTCAGTTTACTTTGCAAATACAGGGTGTCCCCAAAAACTGTATTCACACTTTAACAGCTGATAGCTCAATTTTGAAAATGAAATGTGTTTTAATAAACACTGCCTTTATAATTATTCAAAGTGTGTGTATACATTTTTGGGACACCCTATATATTCATAACTAAAACGGGCCTATAATTTTCCTTTCTTGTATTGCCCCTATCTGGTTTTACTACTAAAGTTATACTGGTTCTGATGTAGATGTATACTCTCTAGAAGAATTTATGTAAGATTACATAACCCATTCTGTTTGGTAAAACTATCTATGCCTAGAGTTTTCTTTGTGGTTAGATTTCTAACTACTTCCTTACCTTTATACTATTTAACACTGCTTACTTAGGCTTCTGATTTCTTCTTAATCAAAATATAACATTTTCTAGAAATTTTTTCATTCTGCTTAAATAATTTGTTGTTGTTAATCCTCACCTGAGGATATCTTTTCCCACTGACTTTTAGAGAGTGGGAGGGGGAGAGAGAAACATCGACACATTGGCTGGTTGCCTCCCGGACACACCTTGACAGGGGCCAGGGATGGAACCTGCAACCCAGGTACATGCCCTTGACGGGGAATCGAACCCGAGTCCCCTTGTGTGTGAGTCAATGCTCTAACCGCTGAGCAACACCGGCCAAGGCCATTCTGCCTCAATTTTCAAGCCTACTGGCACATTGCTTCTATTCATCTGTTTAGCGTCTGTAGTTTATGTAGTGGCTACCCTTTTTCATTCCCGATATGGGTTTTTTGTGCATTTTCTCTGCCTGAAATTTTTGTCCATTTTGTTAATTTTTTCAGAGTTGTCTAATAGCTTTGTTGACCCACTATTGCAACCTTGTTTTCCTTCCTTCTGCTCTTATCTCCTTTATCTTGCTATTTTGTAGCTTCTTTCATTGAACACTGAGCTTATTTTTTAAATATAAATAAGGATTTAAGGCTATAAAATTTCCTTGAATCCATTTTCTCTGAATTCTTTATTTTGATATTCACTATTAGTCAGCCCTTAGCATTTTAAAGTGTTTCTATTATTTTTTCCATCATTTATTATTTCTATTCTCTTGGTGAACTTAATTTTTNTTAAAGTGTTTCTATTATTTTTTCCATCATTTATTATTTCTATTCTCTTGAACTTAATTTTCTAGCATTATATAGTAACCACTTCTATCCCTAATAATGCATTTGTCTTAATGTTTACTTTGTCTGATAATAGTATAAACACACAAGCTTTCTTTTAGTATTTTCCTGGTACCTGGTTTTTCAATAACAGTTAACATTCAGTATTATTTTATATCAGTTTCAGGTGTACAGCACAGTGGTTAGACATTTATATAATTTATGAAGCAATCCCCCCCATAAGTCTAGTACCCATCTGGCTCCACACCGTTATTACAATATTATTTTTACTATGCTTTACCTCTCCATGACTATTTTGTAGCTACCAATTAGTAATTCTTAATCCCTTCACCTTTTTCATCGTCTTTTTTTCCATTCTTTTAAACATTTTCACATCCTTATATTTTGTCTACAAATAATCTTAACCTAATTTGACTACCTTTTCACTGGTGAGTTTATCTCACTATCTTAAAGCACCTTTTTTTAAAAATGCTTTTAAACAGCTTTGAGATATAATTCACATACCATATAAATCACCTTTCTAAGGTGTACAACTCAGTGGTTAAACACCCTAACTTCCTTTGCGTATCACACACTGATCTCCCGCTTCCTGCCCTTTTCATTGATGGCTCCATCTTCCTTCCGACAAGAACTTTATCTTCACGCTCTCTCATCTCCTCCTAGTCCCACATGTTGAAATCACGAAGAATTTTAGTTCTAGATTGTTACTGATATACTTTCTTTTCTTTAGTCTTACTTTTTAAAAAATTTATTTTTATTTTGTTAATCCTCACTGAGGACATATTTTTTTCCATGGCTTTTTCAGAGAGTAGAGGGAGAGAGGGGGAGAGAGAGAGAAGGAACACCCATGTCAGAGAGACCCATCAACTGGTTGCCTCTCACATGCACCCCAGACATGGAGTGAACCTGCCACCCAGGTACGTGCCCTTGGCCAGGAATCGAACCTGTGACCCTTCAGTGTGCAGGCAGATGCTCTAACCACTGAG